ACAAAATGCAAAAATAAATACACAATGTTTTGACTAATCAAGAACTCATCTAGGAAACTTCCCCCCCTATTATCTATCTTTCATCTTGCTCTTTATTTATAATTTTTTTGTAGTACTGGGTATCGAATACGGCCTTGCACATGCTAGACAAGTGCTCTACCACTCTGTTATGTCACTATGCCCCCTACTTTTTATTTTATTTTAAAATAGGGTCTTGCCCCTCAATAATTCTGTTTTTCATTTTGTTTTTGTTTTGAGACAGGATCTCACTATGTAGCCCAGGCTGGCCTCAAACTTATGGCGATCCTCCTGCCTCAGCTTCCCAACTGCTGGGATTACAGACATATGCCACCACACCTCTTTCTCTCTTTCTTTCTTTCTTTCTTTCTTTGACTAAATGTTACCAAAAATCTAGATATGTTCTACTTGTAGTTTTCCAGTGCATCATGACATTTGTCTCTACCATGCTTCCACCTGGACTCTGATCCCCAAATCCTGTCTGCAGTCCTCCTTGGCTGCACTTATTGTTCTATAAAATCAATTGTTCTGTCTTCCAAGATTTTTTAACTCCACAGACCACTGTTTCCCTACCTTTAATGTGCCTAAAAATCAGTTGAATGTCATGGTAAAGTGTACACTCCCATATAGTCAGCCACAGATGTGGTCTAAAATTCTTTCTTTCTTTCTTTCTTTCTTTCTTTCTTTCTTTCTTTCTTTCTTTCTCACTGCAAGGTCTCTCTATGTACTGTAGTTCAGGCTTACCTTGAGCTCACTATGTAGTACAGGCTGGCCTCAAACTCAAAGTGATTCTCCTGCTTCAGCCTCCCAAGTGCTGGGATTACAGGTATGTGCCACCATGCCTGGCCCTTTCTTAAAATTTTCTGTTTGGTTTTTTGAGACAGAGTCTCTGTATGTAGCCCGGGCTGGCCTGGAACTTACAGTGATTTTCATGCCTCTGCCTCTCAAGTCCTGAGAGTACAGGCCCATGCCACCAAGCCTGGCTGAGATTTTGCATCTCTAACAAGCCCACCCGTAATTCAGATAGTGCTGACCCACAGATCATATTTTGTATGGCCTCAGACTAGTGACTTTAAGATTAAAACTCACTGAGGATTTTCTTTATAAGAACTACATCTATAAATATTTAGTACATTAGAAGTTAAAGCTGAGAAATATTTGAAAGAATAAACAAAACTGAGAAACCCTTAGCCAAACTTATCAGAAAAAGGAAAGAAAAGGCCCAAATCCATACAATTAGGAATGAAAAGGGTGAAATTATAACAGACCCAGCAGAAATGCAGAGGATCATCAATGCCTACTTCAAGAATCTATACACCAATAAGATGGAAAACACAGAAGAAATGGACAGATTCCTAGATATGTATGAATTACCAAAGTTGAACAAAGAAGACCTAAAAATTCTAAACAACCCAATATCAATCAATGAAATCGAAAATGTAATTAAAAACTTATCAACTAAGAAAAGCATGGGTCCTGATGGCTTCATTGCTGAATTCTACAAGACATTTAGAGAAGAACTACTGCCACTACTGTTTAAACTCTTCAATGAAATCGAAAGGGAAGCAATACTCCCAAATTCATTCCTGGAAGCAACCTTGATTCCCAAAGCAGAGAAAGATCCAACCGAAAAAGAGAACTATAGGCCAATCTCACTAATGAACATAGATGAAAAAATCTTTAATAAGAGCCTGGCAAAGAGAATACAGAAGATCATCAGAAGATCAAACACCCTGATCAAGTGGGATTCATCCCAGGGATGCAGGGATGGTTCAACATACGCAAATCAATCAATGTAATACACTATATCAATAG